AACAAAATGCTACCAATACTGGGTTGGGGTTCAAAGAATGGTTTGGGTTGGGAATGACCTGGAAGCTCACCCAGTTCCAACCCCCTGCCAGGGGCAGGGACGTCTTCCACTAGAGCAAGCTGCTCCAAGACCCTGTGTCCAACCCGGCCTTGAACACTGCCAGGGATGGGGCAGCCACAGCTTCTCTGGGCACCCTGTGCCAGTCCTTTATTCACAGTAAAGAACAACTTCTTTGTATCTAATCTAAATCTCCCCACTTCCAGTTTAAAGCCATTCCCCCTTATCCTATCGCTATATGCTCTTGTAGAAAGTCCCTCTCCAGATTTCCTGTAGGCCCTTTAGGTACTGGAAGGGGTGGTGTGGTGCTGTGGGAAGACTGCCTTTTTGCCAGCAGGAGTGAGTCACAAGGTAGATGAGACCTCCTATCCTGCGGTGCTGGAGGATGCTAAACACCAGGATAACAGGATAACGTTAATGGTCATCCTGACTTTAAGAAACAACGGTTTCCACAATCCCTAGCATGGTGATTTGGGACTTAAAGGATTGCTTCCCTAAGGATTTGGGACCTGGAAGAGCCACACATCTAAAGAAAAAGTGTTTCTTAGTTCAAAAGAGGGCCCTGTCTCTCCAGTGCATACGGGACACTGCTTTCCCTGTCAGAGATGTGGTTCAAAGCAGCTGAGATGCAAAGAAGCAGATCCCTATCCCCACCTTTGCTGAAAGAACCCTGCCCCAGACCCTTTCTTCATAGCCCCAAATCCCCATCCCACCGAAATATATGGATGGACATCACAGAATCAAAGTATCAACTCAGCTGGAAAAGGCCTTTAGTATCATCAAGTCCAACCAGCAGCAAGTTACCGTTGCCTTAATCCAGTTTTATCTAAGCACAGGCATCCCCCTCCTGCCCTCTTCCATCCCATCACCTTCTTCAAACCTCAAACAAGCAGAGGGCCCAGAGAATTTAGGGAAGGAGCCATAGGAAGAATATGGGAGCATCCTGCGCATCGAGTGTTGGGATATGCTGGAATACTTTGCACTTTGCAGCCACATCGAGCTGTTCCTATATGTGCTGCGACACCAAGAAAGACAATCTTCTGCAGACCTCCAGGCCAGATGCCAGCTCCTTTCCCTTTGAAGGCTCGCTTGGGGATGTAAATTCTCTTCTTCAAGGGGAGGAGGCGAGCTAGTTACAGAGACAGCCTGTCATCCATCTTGAAGAAAACCCTCTTCGCCCACTGCACCTATCCTAGCAAGGTGGCCAAGCAGCACGGATCGTGCCCAAGGAAAAGCTTAGACTCATTTATTTACCAACGCAGCTAATTAATGAGCTGAGCTGATACCCTGCAACAGGTATCGATGGCAGGGGATTTCCTGCTACGCTTGAGCTATGGGAGAAGGTGGGTTTGGATCTGGCATCACACTGCATCCCCCTCTCCTTCCTAAAAATAAAAGGGGGGAAGAAAAACCATCTGCAAGCATCATGGGAACCCCCCCTTCATCTCCATCTCCCCCCTTCTCCTAAAGCAATGATGGGGCAAAATCTCTGCTGGTCAATACTCTGGGTTAACTCCCAGAACGGCTGAGCATCGCGTTGCCCACTCATAGGGAGCAATGGCTCACACACAGCATCCAAGCAAGCCCTTGGGGCTGGGGGTTTCCCCCCCACCCCATCCTGGCTATAGGGGTGAGAAGAGCCACCCACACTGTTTGCACTCCCTTAGCATCCCAAATAGCCTCTTCTTTCACAACGATGCTGAAATAGGGGAGAAGCGTGAGGGGAAAACATGTGGGGGAGTATGGTAAAAATACCGGGGTTGGGGGGGGGGGGGGGGGGAAGCCCATGGGAATGCGATGTTCGGGAATAAACCCTTGGAGCAGCGTGTTTCGGGTGCGGGGTATCTCTTCCTGCAAGCCCCAGCCGTGGGGCTTGTTGGTTCTTTGGGGGGGTAAAGCGGGGGTCTCCGCTCCAACGGGCTGTGCCGAGCATCCCTGCGCTCCGGGGGCTGCGGGCGACCATAGCCGGGCTGCGAGCGCCACCTCCCCGCCGCTCGCCGCAAGCCCCGTGCCCCCCCATAGATAAAACTGCGGGGTTAACGGGGGACCCTGACACGAAGGTTGAGGTGCCCTCATCCTTTTCCCACCCAGCGTTGCAGCGGGGATGGTCCCGATCCTATGGGAAAGAGGGAATGAGGGTGGTGGTGGGGTTTGTCGGTAAGTTTGGGGTGGTTGGAAAAAGGGGGCTGTGGGGTGCTTGGAAGTGAGGGAAAGGTCTTTGTGTGTGTCCCACACCATCTCTGGGTGCCTTCGGGGTAGAGAGCGATGCAGCTCTCCCTGGGGTGGCAGAGCAGTGGGATGGGGGGGAGATGTTTCCCCCACCATGGAGACTGCCTTTGGCTGCTCCTTGAGGGGCTAACTGGGGTTCAGGAGTCCCGTCCCTTCCCCCCCCCCCCCCCCCCCAAACACATGCACACTTCTCAGCCCGGGTATGGGATCTGTCATGTTCCCCTGCCTCAGTTTCCCCCATTAAGGGGAACAGGGGTTCATCAACAGACCCTCCTGCTTTGCAGCCAGTCTTTCCCTGAGCCTGCCCACCTTTGCTGGAGAATTAAGGGGTGTCCAAGCCCCTATTCCTGCTGCCAGGGCTCTGCAACAGCATCCCGAGTGCTAAGGACCAGGAGTTCTGCTCTTTCCTTGCCCCTGTCCAGTTCCTGCCCAGCCTTCCTCTTCACCCTCCGCAGCAGAAGTGATGCTGCACCCCGACGCCGATATAACACGCAGCGCTGAGCATGGTGGTCCCCTGGTGCGTGTGTCCCCAGCACCCCTGAGCTCTCCATGCCCCTGTTCCCAAGACCCACCAAGCAACATGTCCTGTGTGCCCCATGGCCCCTGCCTGGCTCAGACCCGTGGCCACCCTACCCCTGGCAGTGCGGCTTGGCTGCGAGCTGGTGCAATTCCTCAGCACCCTCCGAGGGTAAAAACCTCTCCCTCTCTGCCCCGCAACCTCCTTCCTCTTCCCCCGCGAGGTTCTTGGGCACAGCAATGACTGCGGGACCCAGGTTAATGAGTCATTAATTAATTAGGGACCCACTTAATATGCACGGGGAGTTGTTTGTTTCCTTTAGCAGCCCGGACTTTGGATGCGATCCCAGCTCTGCGAAGCCTCCAGCCTCGTCTCCCAGCTGATAATAGATAATACAGATATTTCAGCACCAGCCAAAGCAGAGTCATCATCATTAATACACAGCCCTCCCTGCTACGCGGCGGAGGTCGCCGCTCAGCTCCGCGGAGTGCCCGGGGCTCATCCCTATGGCTTTTCCATAGGCTTTGCATAAGCGAGAGCAAACCTATAGCTACTCAACAGGTAAGGGGGACGGGGAGGTTCACCCCGCACCTTGGCCACCTCCTGGTACCCTCGCTTTTGAGGTGATCCTCGCTCTGCCGCTCAGGCAGGTTTTGGCATCTGTCAAAGTAGCTTCGCTCTTCCTCACCCCCCTCTTCCCCTCCTCCTCCTCCTCCCTCAGCCATCAGCTGTCAGCTGGCCCTGGCGCTCTGGAGCTGGATGGAGCCTGAGCCTTGGAAAACCCCAGCTCCAAAGGGATGAGGTGGCTGGGGATGGAAGGGGGATGTCTTGCCCTCCATCCCTTTGACCTTGCCTTGATACTCCCCTCCCTACCACCTCCTCTCTATGCAACTGATTCACACAGGGGTTGTTTCCTTGGCCAGGGCAGGATCAGGGACATGAGTCACAACCTTGCAGAGTTGATCCGCAACCCGTGCCTTCGATTGCTGGGGAGCGATGCCTCCTCTGAGCCAGGACCGGGGCACAACCAGGCTGAAAAGTCCCTTTGGAAGCTCTACCTGCTCCCTCTCACCCTGCTTTTCCTTCCAGCCTTGGCAAGAGCCATGGCTGAAACACCTCTCTGCGAAAGTCTGAAGATACATCAACAGCCACCCTCCATCAGCGAATGTCAGGCCGTGAAAGGGAAGGGGGCGGTGGGGGAAGAGGGAGAGACAAATTCTGCGATTCATTCCCACACAGGGTGATTCAGAACAAGATGCTTTGTAATTACGCATTCCTGATGGAGACTCCTCTCTCCCTCTTCCCCCCCCCCCCCTTTTCCTTCCCCAAAGAAAGGCTAAGCCATGCCTGGATGCCAGCATCCCCCAGAAGCTCAGTTCCAGGAGCAGCGTTCGTGTGTCTGTGCCGTACTCTACATAGCCTAAAGGCTAATTTTCTCCCATAGTGTGAAGCTAAGTACTGATAAATGGCCTTTGGGGTGGGACATTAGCAGCTCATCACCTCCCCAGCCATCGCCTCCAGCTCTGGGAAGGTGCCACACAAGCGGTAAAGCAAGCACGGATCCCACACACACACCTAAAACACCCCAGCTCCCCAAGGAAAGGACAAGGAGCTGGGATAAGGGCAGATTCATGCCGGGGGCAAGCGGCTGCTTATCCTTCAGAGACTTTGTTTGCCAACATTGCAGGCTGAGGAGTCCCGGACCCCAAGGCACCGCGGCTTCGCAGCTCTTTGCAGGCTATCTCTGCAGCTCTCTCCCCGTCGCGATTCCCAGCTCCTTTTCCCTCCCCACGGCTGCCTTCTCCCCCAGCAACAACCCGGTCCCCAGCTCCTTTCCTTAGGACAGGAATGCATTTCCCCCCCCCCATCCGCATCCTGCAGACATCAATATTTTCCACCTCCTCTTGATGTTTGCCCACAGGACCCGCATGCCCGAAAGTTAAAACTTCCCATGGCAGGGAGCGATTATGCTCCGTCAGTCCAAATTGCGGAGCGGAGGGGATGAAAGCATCCTCCGGGTGCTGTTTCCAGGGGTAAAAGCAGAGGAGCGGGTACCCAACCGCTGCCTCCCTTGGGGATGAAGAGAGACATCCCCCCCTCCCCGGTCCCTGCACTCAAAGCACAGCCCGAAGAAGTCGTGTCTCCCCTCTTCCCTCCCCTCCGAGGAAGAAGGAAAGGGTGGCCGGGAGCCCCTTACCTTGCAGAGCTCCCCCAGGTTTTATATCCTCCTTCTTCCCTTTGTCAAATTCCAAATGGAAACCAGCAACATATCCAGGGGTAACCAGCCCAACATTGGGCAGCGCGTGAAGTCCAGAAGGATGGCACAGCTCTCCCTCCGCTCCCCTCCACTCTCGCCTCTACATATATATATACATACGCACTTATATATATATATACATGTATAGATCAAACGGGAAAAGGGAGGGAAAAAGAAAACTAAAAGAAATGGGGGTGGTGAGGGAAAGGAAGGGAGAACCTTTGGTGTCTCTGCAGACAGGCAGGTGAAAGAGAAGAGCTGCAAAGAACGAAGCCGTTTGCCGAGGAGAAATCCTTAGGAGAGCGGAAAAACGCCGTTAAAAGCCAGTAAATCATTAGATCCAAGCCGACGAGCGAGTCTTCTCCGTAAAGGAAAAATCATAGAGCAGGGCTCGGAGTAGCTTTCCCAGCAGCGAAGAGCGAGAAGGGTCTTCTTCAGAAAGAGATGTTTGTTTGCAATCCACTCGTCTGCTTTGCTTGCTTCTTCTCTCTTCTCCCCCCACTTTTTGCTTCTCTTTTTTCCTCTTTGAATTCTGCTTCTGAATCTCTCTCTGTGAAACTAGATCCAGTCTTTGTAGCCAGGGGCTGCATTAAGGATTACATCAGGCTTTTATAAGCTTTCCAGATCACACATTAGAGTGAGAGAGAGAGGGAGAGGGAGAGGGAGGGATAGGAGGGAGGGATAAAATGCACACACACACATACACACGCACACGCACGGATCGGAGCTTTGTAAAACAGGCAGCTATAGGCAAGGACCTGAACCACCACGGTATCGCATCGGGCATGCTCCGCTAGCCTATAGGAGGAGAGGAAGCATGGATGGATGGATGGATGGATGGATGGATGGATGGATGGATGGATGGAACAGAAGAGCCAGCGAGAGCCGGAGTGCGTTGGCGTCTGAGCAGCACAACCTCCCCGGGACAGCTTAGCCCTAAAGCGGGGAGCCAGGAGGTGAAGAGGGAGCCGGGATGATGATGATGATTGGGGGGGGGGGGGGGGGAATGACAAGGGCTCTGTTTCCCCCCCCCCACTAAAGAAAACCCCTGCGGGAGAGGTGCGGGTCGCCCCCCGAGGGATGCGCAGAGCCCCGGCTCGCCGCTCCTGGGTACCGGATTGGGCAGGGTCTGCTGCGAGCCAACAACCTGACGAGGGGCACACGGAAGATGGGATGAGGATGAAGGGGAGCCCCGGAGCATGCGGGGTTCCCCAGGACCCCGGCTTGGCTGTGGCTTTGCACCAGGGCATACGGTTTGCTCAGGCTTGAGACAGCAACAGCCGTTAACCCTTTCTCACTTATTCCCTTTTTTACCTCTTTCCTAGCATCCTTCCTAACTCCTTGCTCCATTAACCCACGCATATATGGTGGTGGTGGGGGGGGGGTAATGTGTGTGCACCGCACCAATGTAACACCCGAGGGTGGCAGGAGGGGAATGGAGAGTTTGGGCAGATGGAGGAGGAAGACTGGGGTAAAAGGTACGTGCTTCATCCCAGCAGCTTTGGGGTAAAGATGCTGCCTTTGTGTTTGCAGCCCCGGGAAGGTCCCCTGATAAGGAAGAGCCTGCGGAAAGGGGTGGGAAGGGGATGGAAAGGAGAGGGATAAGGCTGGAGAAGGGGGGAGAGCAGGGGGACTTCAGCATCCTGCCAGACTTCAGGACCTGCCCCTTGTCTTTAACCCTTCCTACTCCATGAGGAGGAAAACGACCCCTTTCCCTGACAAAATCACCCCCATCCCTGCTTGGGGCTGCTGCAGTGGAGGGGCACAGACCTGCCCCCAAGGGGCCGAGGCAAAAATCCCTGCTGCCTTCACCCTCTGTCCCTCTGCCTTCAGGGAGGGTGAGCATCCCATTTCTTTCCCGAGGGACTCCCCAGGGCACCTTCACCCCCTTCCCTTGATCTTCTTCCCCTTTGATCCCTTCACTTCACCCCATCCGGCTCTTTTCGCACCTCCAAACCTCTTCCTATCCCCCCCAAAAAAAGAACTTCCAGGGGAAGGGAAAACGGGAGAACACTGTGGAGAACACTGTTTATTTAGGGGAGATGAGCATCAAGCGCTGGCTGGAGCGCAGCTAACCAGCCTCTCCTCGTCCCCAGCTAGCACTGCAGCACTGCTGGCCAAAGGCATCTGTGACATCTCCAGTTAAGCGGGGACTGGAGCAAAGGGGCAGCTGGGGCCTGAAATACTGGTTTTTAGCCGACAGGCGGCTATGCTGGATTAGAACGGTGCATGCTCCGCATGGAAATCTCTGCCTTTCCCTCTCCTGCGTTCAGGAGTTTGTTTTTCCTTCAAGAAGGCTTCCACCGACTTCCCCAGGGATTTCTTCTCCTCTTTCTCCAGCTTCTCTTCATCCAGCCCTCGCTTGTGCCAAGCAGGATTGATGAGAGCTTCGGTGGGAACAACAGAGTGCATGGCAAAAGGAGCCCATGGAAAGCAGTGGGTTCTGCCCCTGTGAGCCCCATGGGGCAGCCCTGCAATGCCTTTGGGGCCGTGGGGGAAGCGGGGGGCACTCACCTGCGTCCGGTGAGAGGGAAATGAGTTCAAACTGAAACCGGGGAAGTCCAGGTTGGATATAAGGAAGAAGTTCTTTACTGTGAGGGTGCTGAGGCACTGGAATGGGTTGCCCAGGGAAGTGGTAAATGCTCCATCCCCGGCAGTGTTCAAAGCCAGGCTGGATGGAGTCTTGGGTGACATGGTCTAGTGTGAGGTGTCCCTGCGCATGGTAGGGGGTTGGAACTGGATGATCTCGAGGTCCTTTCCAACCCAAACCATTCTCTGTTCTATGATACTATGCAGAGCGAGGTACAGCTCTCATCTCCCCTGTGTCATGGGGCAAAAAAGCTCAGCACAAAGAAAAAATGCCACTGACAAAATTAAACACATTTCTAACCCCATTGTTGCAATGATGGAAATCTCATCTTTGTGAGAATGCAATGAAGGATTTCATTGCAGCCCATTTCTATGCATTCCTAGGTAGAGTGGTCCATGAATCCACAGATCCTCATTTAACAAAAGTGTGAACATGACCCACACCTTAAAAACACAGAGGGAGAATGGCCTGTTTTATGCCACTTTACATTTATGTCAACTGGTTTGACCATATTTTAGTCCATTTTTCCATCTTGGCCCACTTACTTTGTGAAGGGCAGCCCTTGGGTCCTCAAGCAAAAAGGGGAGCATCATGCTGGAGAGCAAGCCTGGATGAGCAGCAAAGCCATAGAAAGGGACGGAGAAGTTGCATTAACAGGGTTTTTGCCCTCACCAGTCTCCATAGTTCCCAAAAAGTGCATCCAAAGGGAGTCACTGAGCCAACACCACTAGAACACACTGAGATGTAAAGATACCTTTGTGTTGATGGTTGTTGCCCCTGCTCCCCATGTATAGACCTTGCTGGGACCTGGGCTGCCCAGTACCATTTATTTATTACACAGAGAGCCCTTCAACAGAGTTTCCAGCCCCATTTTGCTTGAAACTATGTAGAAATAAGCAAAAGACCAGAGATCTGCCCAAACTGGCAAGCCCTGTCCCATCACAACGCAGTGTGAGGACTCCTGAAGTTACTCATAACAGATATGGGTGCTATCAAGACTTCCCAGTTTAATTGCCAGAGGAAAGAGAAGCAGACAAAACAAGCACAACCAGAGGCTTTAGGGCACAGCAGCTTTTGGGATGCACCAACCCCAGACCACCATGGTGATGCTTGTAAGGCCAACCTACCTGCAATACTCACTGGGGAGATGCTGGGTGGGTTTTATGGCAAACACTGGCTTTGCTGTGCAAAAACACAAGCAAGAGGCAACTTGGATTCTCTTCTCCACTAGATTCTTGTTGCCTGTGCCCATGGTCTGGTTTTCTGACTGGCTGTTGCAGATGGCAAGGCTTGAGTTGGATCCAGCTGTAACTCTTCTCTCTGGCCAGAGGACACCAGCAAACCCAATGCAGATAAGCAATCCCTCTGCCTTTACACATGCTTTGAATTTAGACCATGCTTACTGCGCAGAAAGTGCCTTTTGTTGTCAAAACTGGTCAAAATCCAAAAGGAATGGGAAATATCTATGGTTAAATGCAGCAGCCTTGGGAATCTGCAAAGAGATTTAAGGAGAAGGAATAAGGTGAATACTTCAGGGGTCTCAGACTACAAAGTACATGAGGGAGACATGAAATGGAGAGCAAAACCTCTTCTCTCTGCCCAGGTTTTGCACTTTCTGATTGAAATAGGTTGTTTGGGCTGGTAGTTGTTCAGAGCTGGTTTAGATTTGCTAACTCCAGGCTTCTGGTCCCACTAGGTTAATGTATCTGCCCCTAAACTCAGCTGGAAGCATAACTGCAATGTAGAGAACTGAGCCCAGTTTGTTGGAAGAGTCCCCCCCTTGCCAATGGCATCTCCAGACATCAGAGGTGTAAATGAGGATGGCAAGGGAACAAAAAGGGAATGTCTGGGCTTCCCAGGGGATCTGTTTGAAGAGGAGAAAAGCAAAGCAGGACACCTTGTGAGTAATCAGTTTACTTCCCCTCCAGCAGCAGATAACACTGAGTTTACATCTACAACATCTTGCATTGTGTCTGGCTAAAGATCTGCTTGATTCCCAGTTTCCACAGCCACATCCTTCTGCCAAAGGGTGACGAGGAATAACTCAGCTCGACATAGGCCTTGAAGGGGATTTTCCCATGTCTTTCTCTCACATGGCTGCTGGCTCGTGGTTTCTATCTCACTTTTCCCTGATACCAGCTGTGGTTTCCGGAGCTGCTCAGGAGTGTAAATGTTCACAGCATCACACATCAAACCCTCTAATTGCAGCCTCTCCCAAGTGCAAGAGAGAAAACTCCTGCTCCTCCTCATATGGGCTGTATTTATTAAGTGAAAGCAATGTCTGTGTTCAAGGAGTGCCTTTGCTTAGAGACTTCTATGCTCAGACAACATGCTAAGACACTTCTAAACCAGGATTTTAGCATTAAATCCATATTATAGAGTTGGGACTGAAGGCATCAGTCCCAACTTCCCAAATGACAGCATAGAAAATCCTAATGCCAACCTTCTCCCCTAACACTTTACAACAAGGGACAACTTATGGACCCCAAAAGATGGGTCCTTGTGAGGGGAACAAACACCAGCACATAAATGGTCATGGGCAGTGATGGTGGCTGGAGCTTAAATGGGTGACTGCACTGTTAAGGAAGCCAAGCTTGGGACCAGGGGCCCAAGGTCCTTGGATCATCAGGGGAGAGGATAGATCCCCCCCTCTGAAAGCAATTCTGATGCTGGGTCTGGAGTGATGCATCCCCAAGCCTACATGTCCATAGCTCTTCTCCCCCAGAGCTTTGCACTGATCCTGATCTTTCCTTTGCCCCCCACCCTGCATAGGAAGGGAAAGGATGGGGATGAGATGGTGGTGAAGTCCTGCTGCCTTCCCAATCAGCACTGAACATCAGGATTCACTGGGGCTTCAGCCCCTTTCCCTCCTTCTTTTATGTATCCATTCCCCAAAACACATGCTTTTCTGGGGATCAGAGGAGCTTTACACATCACTCTTTGCCAAAACATGGATGAGGAGGACCTCCCCCCTTCTATGGCAAGGGAAAAAGCTGATGGAGATTCAGGAACAAAAGGTAGAAAACCTGTGGTCTGAGGTTAAAAGCAAAGTGCACTTGGTGGGGGGAAGCTCATCT